GTCCTAGATTGTAAGCTCGAAAGAGCAGGGCCCTCGAACCCCTCGTGTATCACATTGTATTGGTATTGTTCTGTCACATGTTCTGTCCCCCTTTGTAATGTACAGCGCTGAGCGAACTATTGGCGCTTTATAAATACTGTATAATAATAATAATAATTTAACCACTTCCCTCCCATAAAAAACCTACCCGTACATCCTTAGATTTTGGTGGTTATACTAGGGCTATGGCTGCTGCTGCAGTCATGTCCCCGTTATCTGTTTATATAGCTGGCAATGCTGAACAAGGTAAAAGCAATGCGAGCGGCTAAATAGCTGCTAGATCACTTTTACATGCGGTGGAAGGGGCATCCCCACTGCCTTCGTGAGCTCTCCAATTCCACCAGGGAGCCTGGGGCTGAAGCCGGCGATTCTGCCAGCTTAGCATAGAGTTGACCAAGGGACGGAACTTCCACGATCATCTCTATGGTTTAAGAAACTGGAAGCGACGAGTATTTTGTCAATTCCAGTTTAGTCTAATGTAAGTAGGTTTGCTACCAGCTTGTGAAAGCATCTGATGAAACTGATTTCGGTTTCAGTAGCTTTTAAGGGCAGAGGCGAGATCTGGATCTAGTGGAGCCTAGATATCTCAATAAAGAGAACCTTTCACTGCTCATTCTGTCACAAGAGATGTTGTTTATCCCTTGTGATAGCAATAAAAGTGATTAAAAAAAAATGTAAGGAGACAATGTAACAATTAAAAAAAATTTTAAATAAAATAATTTTAATACATTTTTAAGTGCCCCCCCGTGCTCGTGCACAAAGCCAGACACATACATAGGTTGCGCACACATATGTAAACAGTGTTCACACTAGACCTCCTGTGTAACTCTAAGCTGGTAACCTGTAAAGCAGGGGTATCCAACCTTTTGACTTTCTTGGGCCACGTTGGAAGTAGAGTAATGGTCTTGGGCCACACATAAAATACACTAACTGATAGAGATAATGTACCTGTCTGTGTAATAAAACTACATTTTTTTGATATTTTTTTTTTTTTAAATTATTACAGTAAAAGAGGGCAACATAAAAGTAGTGCGCGATAATTGACACTGTTTTTTGATAACCTCTGGCATCAATATCTGGTTCGATGGATGTAGCAGCAATTCTTAATGAATTCTCAACATTAGTGTTTTTAGTTCTAATTTTGCCCTTCCTGTGCTTCATCCTTGAAAATAGTTGCTCACAAATATAGGTGCTGCTGAAAACTGATTACATGAATAAGGTGTGATTGTGAAGAGTGGGATATTTTTATTTGATTAAACTCCAGTCCAGTAAAGACACTGTCAAATTCTTCACTTGCACGTGTTCGCTTAGTGTTTTTTTTTTTTTTTTTTTTTTTTTTTTTTTAAATTCCCCCACAAAAAACAAGTTTTCGATTTTGTTTTGGGCCGCAGGTTGGACACTCCTGTAAAGACTTTTAAAGAAACTTTTCAGTACCGTAGTTTGTTGACATTCCTTAGCGTAACATCATCTTTTATATTTTACCAAACAGTTGGGTATTATTGTATTGTGTTTTTTTTTTTATTAAAATTCATTAACCACTTGCCCTCCTGAGGATTTACCCCCCCTTCCTGACAAGGCCATTTTTTCCGATACGGCGCTGCGATACAAAAAAAGACTGACAATTTTGAAAAAAAAAAACAAAACAATATTTTTGACTTTGTTATAAAAACATATCCAGTAAAAATAAAAATGTAAAAAATCAAATGTCATTATAAATGCGCAATCCAAAGCAGCGTGCTGGAGCTGACAAGGGAGAGGTCTGTATTGTTTACATACAGACCTCTCCCCCATCAATGTTCCTCGGCAATCACCGGGTGCCTGTGGGGAATCTCTAGCCGGGACCCAGTGATCGACAGCTGTAACCACCAATGGCGGCACGGGTAGGGTGCGTGCCCCCTACCCAGAAATACTAAATCAAGTATACAGGTGAAACTCGAAAAATTAGAATATCGTGCAAAAGTTCATTTATTTCAGTAATGCAACTTAAAAGGTGAAAATAATATATGATATAGACTTATTACATGCAAACCAAAATAGTTCAAGCCGTGATTTGTCATAATTGTGATGATTAGGGCTTACAGTTCATGAAAACCCCAAATCCACAATCTGAGAAAATTAGAATATTGTGAAAAGGTGCAATATTCTAGGCTCAAAGTGTCCCACTCTAATCAGCTAATTAAGCCATAACACCTGCAAAGGGTTCCTGAGCCTTTAAATGGTCTCTCAGTCGGGTTCAGTAGGAATCACAATCATGGGAAAGACTGCTGACCTGACAGTTGTGCAGAAAACCATCATTGACACACCCTCCATAAAGAGAGGAAAGCCTCAAAAGGTAATTGCAAAAGAAGTTGGATGTTCCCAAAGTGCTGTATCAAAAGCACATTAATAGAAAGTTATGTGGAAGGAAAAAGTGTGGAAAGAAGAAGGTGCACAAGCAGCAGGGATAACTACAGCCTGGAGAATTTCTGGTTTGGATAAATAAAGAATGCAAAAAAAAAAAAAAAAAAATGTTGTTTACACAAGGCTAATTGATTAGGCCTAATCTATAATGATAGTTCTCCTTCTTGACCGGAAAAGACTCCTTCTCTAAATCACAAATCTCAAAAAATGTACTTTTAATCCATAAAATTTGACATGATAAAGCCACATTACTACTGGGTATGTATTTGACCGTGGAAAGAAAATACTGAACAGATCAAGATCACATATGGCTAGGCTATCCTATGAAGGAGGTCTTCCACCTCCTGGGTGACCTGCCTGTCTGAGGGATATCATGTTTAGAATCTCTGGAATGGCAGTTGCATAATGCACAATAATATGTGGGTTACTAGATCATGACATGGGATATACTCTAAATATTAAATTAATTGTGAACATTTTTTTTAAATCACAAACACGTTACATTTGCCTGCTCTGTGCAATAGTTTTGCCAATGGCTCCCTTTGCTGTGTCTGAGCCAATGAGCAGGCAGAGAGCTTTTGCTCTAGTTCACATCGCTGGATTGAGATTGGGCTCAGGTAAAAATAGGGGAGCTGCATGCAAAATGTTTTTTACCTTCCTGCATAGAGAATGCAGGAAGGTAAAAAAAAAAAACCTGCTGCCTTTACAATGACTTTAATACATTTAAAAAACTATCCGAGGGAGGAGCAGCTGAATGCTTGTAAAGACAGTGACATCCTTTTGGCCACACAGATCTTTTTGGTCAAATGATTTTGGTCAACACCCTCCTTGGGGACCAGAAAAAAGAGACTGCATTAGTGGTCTGGAGCTCTCTTTTGTACCATCAAGCAAGGAACCATCCAAGATATATGATTTCTTACTCATTGACTGGGCTTTGCTGAATTCAGAACCAGGACTTTGAAAAGTATTTTCATTCTGAAAAATTTTAAAATTTTTCTGTTGGATTGTTGTCTATTTTTCTTTTGTAATACATATTTTTATGTAGATATTTTTTTTGCATGGTTTGACCTTTTCTATTATTCAACAATGTTTTGAAAAGTTTTAATATGGTCTCTAATGCACTAATGCAGAACTTTAAGAATCCCTGTCTCTTTGAAGAGTGCTACTGTACTGTAAATCTCTGGAATATTTTTGTCTGTAGTGACAGTGTGTATTAGATGTTTATTAGAAGGCATAATTGTTTTTGTTAATGTTGATATTTACAATAAATATCTGGTGGCAGAGTAACAAGTTAACTGCGTAATTAACGAAACCCAGTGACGATTGCTGCTGGCACTTAGATGGTGGTCCTGTGAGCTCGAGAATCATTGTGAAAGGGGAGGCCAATGGTGTCATTGTCATATATGAGTGACAGCATGGTGTGAGTGTTGGATTTTAGACACATGTAATACTTCTTTCAGTGTCTTGAGGCGATTATGAATGAAAGAGCCCTTGAAATAAAAAATGAAGTGTGATTTTATTCTATCACACAATGGCTTAAAATAACAATGTAAAGCGTATCATGAACAGTTCCATGTAGATAAAACTACTGTAGAAATATCAAGCAGAAGTTTAAAGAAAAGTCACCATTATTGTCATGGCTGTCTGACCATGTGCACCTTCCATGTTCTCCTTGTCCTTCTCGAGACTTTGGGAAGAAGCCAGAAGTAGACGGAAGTAACGATCTTGTCTTACAACATGCACCTGTTCCAGCTTCTTTGAAGTGTGTGTGTGTGTGTGTGTGTGTGTGTGTGATGTGTGTGATGTATGCAAGAGTGCCGCTGTCCCGTATGGACCTTTTTATGAAGGAAGTCAGTACTGCTTGGCAAAGCTATTTCATAGAAGGCAGGGGACGCTATATCTATGAAGATTTGATGGACAGGTACATATGTTGATGATGTAACCTCAACTATCATATTTAAATTATAATATAACTTAAGATCGTTTACAACATATCAATGTATAATCACTAATCTATATATGTATCAATATTATAAATTATACTTAATACACACAGATACTATTAAAAATACATTCAGTAATAGTAAGTCTATAATGAGTCACTCCTAATACCCTTGACATTTACTAGAGACTTCTAACCAGCTATGCCTTAATATAGTCTTCAGCTGGTTTAGCTGGTCTCAGCTTAACTAACTCATATCTTTTGGTCTCAGCTATAACTTATATCTCAGCTTACTTTACTGAAGAATTAAATAATATCATTGGCTTAAGGCGTCCATTCAAACATATTAATATTAATTATGAATAATCATAAAAACAAAATATTTTGCTAGCTTGCCATCAATATAAGTGCCGAATCATGAATTTGATTAATTTCCTTCAGTGAGTTTGATCAGCCATTTTTCACAAATTGGTAAAGGTTGCCAGGGTCTGACACCATGTCTTTCACACTTGTCAGTAGTAAAGAGATCACCAGACCCTAGGCATCTGCAATATCTAATTCTAATCTCACTGATTTGAAGTGGTTGTAAATGTATTTATAATGAATTGTTTAAATTCAGGATCATCTCAGGTTGATGATAATGAGGAGCAAGAAGAAGAGGAGGTTGAGGAGGAAATAGAGGAGGAGCTCACCTCAGTTCAAGTGTCTGAGAAAGAGTTTAACTTCTTGGACTATATGAAAAGGTTAGTTATTTGTAATTACATGTGTATTGGTAATGGCATTGTAATGGCATAGTTTACTTCCTTATTTTATGAGTACCCTGGTCTGTTTGGACAGATTTTGCAGTTATTTCTTCAGCTTATTTAGATTACTTCATGTTCTAAGTATATACAGGAACGCACTGAAACATGGTGCCTTACAAAAGTTCTGTTACTGCTCCCAGTATTCACAGATGGTGCTCAAATTTTACATTGGGTCTGGTTACCTTGGGTTTTTCTTTTTTTGCCATTATACATGAATGTTGCCCATTGAATAGCTACAGTTTTGCTATTTCTTTAAATCATTAAGGATTTATTACAATCTGGTTTTAATAACTGATTGTTTTCTATACCATGCAGATTTGCCAGCTCCAGTGTGGTGAAGACCTATGTTTTGCTGCTGAAGACCTATCAGCAAAACAGTTCGCATACCAACCACTGTGTGGTGAAAATGTTGCACCCGTATTGCCTATGACTTGAAAATGGAGGCACTACTTTTTCAGCTCTCTGTTTTCTGTGTTTTTAATCGTATTCTCAATGACCCTGTAGCTAGTGCCTACAAGGTAAGCAATCTGAAGGTTATTTAGTCAGTAGACATAAGTGTACTCCAATGAGTTCTCATCCGAATGCAATTTGAGAATCACATTTTGAGAGTTCCAGTATGATGGACTAGACTGCTTTTAGCCATTAAATGACAATCCTTTTGCTTTATTGTTCATGACATGCTACTCTCATACTACACACTACTTTGGCTGTGTGTCCAGTGATTAGAACCTGGAGGCCTATGCTGACAATATATGACTTTGTGAGGCCTCTTTTCTTTTCCGACTCTTTTGTAAATGTGAATTTTTGGTGATTCTTGGCATCAAAAAATGAGTCTATTTCCTCAAAATACTATTCAGGAACTTTGACATTTGCAGTTAAAGGAGTTCTGTGGTTACAACATACACTTTCATTTTGTAACATCAGCATTGCAATAGCAATACAAACAATGGCAATTATTGACAATCTAATATAAGCTTACTTGCAACCTTTCCTGTTGTGAGTGCTGCCTTTCTGCTAGACCTCTATTTCCACTTCCTGGATTCCCTGCATGCTTTGCAGCCTCTCCTCTGCAGTTTATTTTCAATTTCTAAGGACTACATATCCCATTGTACCTTGCTGCCCAGAAGCTGTGAATCATCTACTGCCTCTGCCTTCTAAAGATCCTGTTGTCAGAACCCCTGTGGTTCAGAAGGCAGCTTTTGTGAATTCAGTGGCACAGCAGTGCACACCCGCAGGGCATAGTGAATTTGTACCAAAGAATTCAAGGAAATAAATGTGTGGGATTCTATGCAAAGCAAGCTTACAAATTTCACAATCATTCAGATTAATGGGAGCAGGCCCAAAATAATTGAAATTCAAACTGGAACTTAATATATGATATATTTTGACCATAGTTACGCTTTAAGATATGTGTGCTAATGGCGTTTTTTGCACCCTACTATTTTTGCAGGAATTAGTAGCATTTTGTAAATTTATCCTGAATAAGTTCTTTGCACTTGCTGCTACAAACAAGAAGGCATATGTAGAGCTCCTTTTTTGGAAAAATACTACTGTAGTTCGAGAGATGACAGAGGGTTACCGCAAGCCTGGTGAGGAAGAAAGGTAAGGTTTTAGCAGCGTGAATAGTGACAGTATTAGTGTAGCACATTACAGACAATAGTCATGTGCTAATAGCCAGCATTCTCTTTATTCAGTGATAATGCTCGAAAACGCATAAAATGGACACCAGAAGAAGAGGAGGAACTTCGATCCTTATACTTACAGTATAAAGAGGTTGAAGGTAAATGTTCCTTATTTTTTTTTTTAATCTATAATGTGTTGAAAAATGAACATTTTGTCTTGAATTCCTAATGAAAAATCACTTTGCACTGCCTGGCATGTGAGGGAGCCTATAGCTTTATAGCTGAATATTTGCAGTGTAAATCTAAGGCACTGTTTTGTGAAATTTAGAGTGAGATTTGTTGATTCCACTACTGTGCTGTTTACTGCTTTCCTGGCTGGAGGCTCTGACAAAGCCCTGCCACTACCAAGGTGGCTTCCTCCATTCAGAGACTGCAGAATAAGACATGATAGGTGAGTAAAGGGAAAAAGGCAAGCCATAGATTATACCATTTTTATTTTTTTTTTTTTCCTTCCACCACAGATGGAAGGAAAGAGAATTGCTTGGTTCCCCCATAACACAATGTTCACTGCTAGTGGTTTTAGCTGCTGGCAGTGATTGCACTCAAAAAATCTGACAGGCTATTTGTACTGCCCATAGATGGATTAAATTTCAGCCAGTCCCTGCTGAACCAGCTAAGGGTAAATCTATTTATGGCCGGCTTTAGTCCATTGCAGAAGATCACAGGCAATATTTCTGCCTAGACCTTTGCCCTCTGCATGCCTTTTGGCCACAGTTTTCATAGCTCAGTTCCTCTTTAACCACTTCAAGTCCGTACACTTTTACCCCCTTCCTGTCCAGCCCAATTTTCAGCTTTCAGTGCTATCACACTTTGAATGACAATTGCGCGGTCATGCAACACTGTACCCATATGAATTTTTTAGCCTTTTTTTTTGAGACAGATAAAACTTTATTTTGGTGGTATTTATTCACCACTGGGATATTTATTTTTTTTGCTATGTAAATAAAAAAGTCCAAAAAATTTGAAAAAAAGTGTTTTTTCTTCTAAAATTTTTGCAAATAAATAATATTTCATCATAACTCTTGGCCAAAATGTATTCCGTTATCTTTTTAGTAAATAAAAAAAAAACCCAAATTAGTTTATAACCAAAAATTATAATTTTTAAACATTTTTTTTACATTTTTATTTTAGTTTTTTATATTATTATTTTTTTTTATTTACATACTGTCACCCTAGCAGTGCAGTGTCACCATGGTGACACTGTAGTACTTGTGGGGGGTGATGACGATTTTTTTTTTTTTTTTTAACTGATTGTTTTTACAGCCTTTATGGGTGTAAAAGCAATCATTTCTCCTTCTCTCTGGCTGCATTCTTGCAGCCATTGAGAGAACTACTGTGTGAGCTGTGATTGGTCACAGCTTGTCACATGTTACAAGGCTGTTGTGAATAGCCTTGTAGCATGTGACCTCTGTGATCATTCACAGATTTCACACGTAGTAAGCAATGATGTCAGAAGTGACATCTTGCTTACTACTCTGCATGTGATCACTGATTGGCCAATCAGTGATCACATGATCGGGACCTCGCACAGAGGTCCCGTATGACGATCAGTGTTCTACTGTGTCCGGAGGACACAGTGGGCACTGGATCGCGGTGCTGCGTGCTCCCAGGGAGCGCGCACAAGCAGGGGGTGGGGAGGCCGTTTATAAACAGTCACCCGCTCCTGCACTGTCACCGTCCGGCTGTTTATATACATGGGTTGGACGGGAGGTGGTTAATTACTATTTACATTTCACATTTGGATGATAGAAAAACATTACAAACCTTGCATGATATTTTAATTGAAAGCACAAATGGGAATGTGTAACTTTAATCATGTTATGTTTGCATTTTTATGTGAGCCCTTTATACTTGTTTGTAGGGAGTAGAAAGAATCTGTCTCATGGCCAGCTGTGTTTCTGCTTTACTGTTGGCTAAAGGATAAGTGCACTTGCCTTTTTTTTTGCCCCCCATGCCACCTCTGATATCTTCTGACTACTCTCCCCGAACCATAATTACCTTGCAATCATGCCCATGGCCTCCAGTTTTTGTTTACTAATGTGCTGGTAGATCTTCTTTATGTAGACAGGTGCAGTTAGCCTTCCTGCCTGTAGTTTGCGCTGTCCTATTATTACATGGGAAGGGGAGTGTCACAAGGGAGTTGTTCCCTTAGTCATTCCATACAGTGTCCCAAAAGGAGAAGTGGTCTAATTCGACACTGAACTCTCAAGAGACTTGAGCGGCCATTTTGGGTGAGGAAACCATTAAATAAGGGAACCCATGTTACTTTGATGTGCTTTTGGCAGGTGTATGGTCCGGGACAGGAAACTACTTGTGAAGTAGGGTTCAGCTTAGGGCAGGATCTTTGGTCATTGTTGATACTGCAGTGTTCGAAACGAAGATGTGGTGCCAGTTAGAGGTGCTATCTCATTCTAAAGCGGAGATCTAGGCTTCCCCACTAAAAAAATAAGTCAGCAGCTACAAATACTGTATCTCCTAGATTGTAAACTTGAAAGAGGACCCTTGATCCCCTCATGTTTTGCATTGTATTGGTATTGTTCTGTCACATGTTCTGTCCCCCTTTGTAATGTACAGCGCTGAGCGAACTATTGGCACTTTATAAATACTGTATAATAATAATAATAATAATAGCTGCTGATTTTAAATATAAGGAAACTTACCTGTCCACAGATCCAGCGATGTCCTCACCTGACCCAATTCTTCAATTGGCTTCAGGTTCGGGTGCCGCCATCTTCAGCAAGGGAAACTGGAAGTGAAGCCTTGCAGCTTCACAGCTGGTTTCCAACTGCGCTGCTCTTTTTGAATGGTCCCTCAGTCTTCTGGGGCCTTTGAAGTGTCCTAGAAGGCTGCAGGGGATGGAGTGGGGGCGAACTTCAACTCAGATCACCGCAGCACATCTGACTGGAAGTGGGAGCTGGTAACTGATAAAACCAGGTACCTTCTCCTCCCCAAAAAGTGCCAAATGTGGCAATGAAGAGAGAAAGGAGGCAAACAAACAGAACGTCCCCTTTTGGGTGAAGTTTCACTTTAAATACCTCTTCTTATAGAATGCAATCCCTGCTAGCTGAAGCTGCTGTGCATATACTGACTTTATCTGTGTGTGGCTAGTTACTCTCAATGCAAGAAAGCTAACTTGGGCCCCTTTCACACTTTTGTGAGATAAGAATGCTATATGGGGGTGTCTAGTTTAGCTCAGAGGGGTGGGGCTGAAAAAGGTTAACTGAACTTTGTTTGGAACTTTGTTCTCGTGTTTTTTTATTAATTAAATATAAAATTACAGGTGCTGATGTTGTGGACTCTATCTTGGCAAACCTGAGGCCCGGATCTCGAACTAGAAAACAAATTATTAACCATCTTGTGCAAATGGGACTTGCTGACAGTGCAAAGGATTTCAAAAAAGAAGTGTAAGCATTCATTAATTTCATATTCCGTGTATAAGATTGTAAGATACTTGCCTTTCCTCTTATATTCCATAAGCATTCGCATTCACTTACTTCTAGACAGTTTATTGCTCTAACAGGTGTGTGTTTTTAAGGCTTATGACTAATTGCTTGTGTGGATACACTTTCATGCATCTGATGAGCTTTCTGTTTATATTACAGTATTGGTAACATCAGTTTATGTTTGTAAAATATGTACATCAGAGATAAATGACTGCTACAACTAACAAACCTTGAATAATTTCTGTTTTTGCATCTTTGCAGTAAGGGAACTCGAATTGTGCTCTGGACAGAAGATCAGGAGATGGAACTTCAGAGACTTTTTGAGGAGTTTCAAGAAACAGATGGTAAATCCAATATTTTTGTTATATAATTTATTCAATTGTTTGTTTTTAAAGTTAACTTCACACATTTCATAAACCTAAAATTGATGTTGCACTAATCACAATAATGCCACAGACATTCCAAAACAAATAATGAGACCAGAAGACAATAGATGATACAACATAACGTAATCAGTAAACGGAAGGAATATGGGAGTGAAGGAAAAGGTGAAATAATAAAGGTCCAAATTGAGGACCAAAAGGTGTAACAGACAAACTGTGACCGTGGGCAAAACGCACGGAAATGATCAGGGAAAAATAAAATATTAACTAAATCACAGTAATAGTTGGACATATGAGTCCATCATAACTTAAATGAAATAACGTGAATACAACTTATGAGAAAATGGGGCAAAATGTGAACAATACAAAATGAAGTGCTTAAATATTAAAAGTGGACAAACCACTTATCACAGAAGAATGACAATAACGACGCACAGTGAGGCCAAAAAATGTGACCATGCGACTAAAGGGTCATAACACAATGTGCATCAAAAGGCTATGTGACATAAAACAACTAATAAGTGACCATATAAATACCATAAATACATGTGGCAAACATATATAGAGTGCAACTAGTATAAAACCAGAAAATGGTGATACAAACGCACAGTGAAACCAAATGAATGTATTACTGTGCACCGTAAAATACAATCACACAATTAAGAAATAAATAACATGTGACTAAAAAAATATCATAAATGCGACATAAAGTCCATGTGCAAAAACGTCCAACAAAAACGCATCCAAAAAAAAAAAATGTGGATAGGTAAATGATTAGTGGATCCCACACCGGCTAACATGCCTCCTCACTTCCACGCCCAGACCCCATGGGGCCCTTTAAATGGAATCCCAAACGGTGATGTAGGGATGATATCCCCCTCACTGGTGGAGCATACTGTTCAGCGGTGGTAATATATCTTTCACCTTTGGACACGGAATTCAGCCAGCGCACAGAACTCCTGCCAGGGGTTCGTTGGACCAGAAAAAACAGCCAGCTCACAGCACTCCCCAAGGAGACAAGAAAAAAGTGCTTCCATAGTGTAATATTGTAAATGAATCAAATTTATTGTAAAGACAAATGTGCACTTACATGGGAACAGATCAAACAAGGCATCAATTACATGTGCTGATATGGGTGTACTGGGTGTACCAATATGGCTGCGGCCATTAGTGTCGGAAATGATGTCGCCACATTCCGTTCTCCGACCTACGCGTTACATCACTGTCACGTGACTTCATCAGGGTCACACATTTCATAATGAACCCTGAGGAAATTTGATGTAATGCAAGACACTAAAATATGTCAATGATTCTTTTGCTTGGAGCCAGTGCAGTGTTTATCAGTTCCTTCCAGCCTTCAGAATCCAACTCTTGTACTAAGCCAAAACAGGTCAACCTATTGAGAATGTCTAATCAGCCTGTTTCCTGTTCTCAACTTGGTGAGTTGGTGATGTTTCTCTTTCATTCATTGATGGACACAGCCTTCATAATCTTGACCATAGAGTTATTTCGCCCACCTTCAGGAGTAGGACTAGGCAGAAAAAAGAACAAACGCAGCACCGCCTATGGGCAGTCCTAACTGGAAGTAGACCTCCACTCTGCAATAGGCAGCTTAGTTTTTTTTTTTTTTTGCCTAGTGTAGGAGTAAGGACCTGGCTCCCTGCTGGGACCTGTGGTTCCATAGATTTTTTTTTTTTCTTTTTCCCTCTTTTTTTTTTTTTTTTTTTTTTTTTCTTTCTCCTTTCGGCGGAGATCTTCAATCAACTGCTGGGCTGGGCGACAGGCTGGATAATAGAGATCCTTGCAGCCTCCACAGCTTGGCCAGTGAGCATGCGCTGACCTTAGCTCAGCTCTAGGTCGGCCGTGACGAGCCCCATTCTGGACTGGGACAGCCAGCAGGTTGAACTTCTTGCAGGGACACATATGACCAGGCACCTGACGTCTGTGTCAGTGTCACCCTGGCCGGAAGCCCCTGATGGGTTCGGACTTCAAGCAGCAGCCATTTTCCTGTAGCCTGCTGGCAGCCTCTTGCAATCCCTGTGGGCGGAACTTCCGGGTGGGTAAAGTAGCATCTCCCGGTGGTCTACACGCGGAGCTCTCCTCGCCTGGTGGATGGACAGCGCACAACACTGCTCCTCAGCTATCCTGGTCGGTGCTGGTGAGTCCTACTGGACTCCTCCCGGTCTGAGGCAGTGCTTAGGGGTGTTTACGTCCCTCCCTTGTGGGTGTTCTGTGCCTGGCGGTGCCGGTCGAGCGTGGGATCCTCCCATGACATCTTGAAGCAGGTGGCCCACCTCCAAATCTCTCTATCTCCCTCCCCCCCTCCCCTCCCCTCCCCTCCCCTCCCCTCCCCCCTCCCCCTCCCTCCCCTCCCTCCCTCCCCCCTCCCCCCCCCCTCCCTCACTTCCCTCCCCCCTCCCCCCTCACTTCCCTCCCCTCCCCCCTCACTTCCCTCACCCCCCCCTCACTCCCCTCCCGTCACTTCCCTCACTTCACTCCCCTCCCCTCACTTCACTCCCCTCACTTCACTCCCTTCCCTCCCTTCCCTCACCTCCCTCCCCTCCCTTCCTCCCTCCCCTTCCTCTCTCTCCCTCGCTGTCGGTGTTCTGTGCCGGTCGAGCGTGGGATCCTCCCATGACATCTTGAAGCAGGTGGCCCATCTCCAAATGTCTCCCCTTCTCTCCCCTCCCTCTCTCCCCTCTCCTCTCCCCCTCTCCTTCTCTCCCCTCTCCTTCTCTCCCCCTCCCTCCCCCCCTCTCTCTCTCTCCCTCTCTCTCTCTCTCTGTCGCTCTCGCTTTCTCTCTCTCCCTTTCTCTCTCTACCTCTCTCTCTCTCCCCCTCTACCCCCCCTCCCCCTCTCTCCAGAACATGCAGGTCCTTCTCTGCCATTGAGCCCCCCCCACCCTAGTTGTACTCCTACAATTTATGGTGCATGCATGTTTTGTCATAGTTAACATTATTGTTTTCATTGCAGATACTCTGGGAAATATCATGAAGCATATTACTGCAAAACGTTCCAAACCTAGAATTATAGAAAAACTAATAAGCATGGGCCTTGTGTCTGACCGTAAAGAACTTTATAAGAAGAGGAAGAGAAAAGGAAAATCTGGCATAGTATGTGACTGGTTTCTCCAGATCTGTTTCTTACCTGTCTGCACATCTTTCTGGAGAACTCTGAAATATATCTATATTTATAAAACATTAAATACAAATATGTATTTCTTAGCTAGTAAAAATTTTGAAAAATAGGAGTTGTGTTTCTTTTGGGTAGACAATGTGAGATTTGTCTTCAAATAGTGTTTCCACTCTATTTTTCAGTCCACTCAGAAAAGATGTTTTGGGGGTTTCTGACCATTTTTATTTATCCAAATCATGAAAGTAACAGTGTTTTGCCCTTGCAGTGGTTGATTCACATAGTAATGAACATTAATATCTCTCTGCCTTCTTGCTTTTGTTTCTTCCTTCACGGCCCATTTACACTGTGTGGTGACTGACAGTTTTCTGCTCCTGATCAACGCCAGTCGTTGCAAAGTCATATAACAAGCAATCCTCTTCTATGTGCTCAATTCAAACCACAATATTAGTGTTATGTGAGGTGCAAAAAATGCAGACTTGCCATATTTTTCTGCATCGCATCAGAGGGCACCTTTTGGGCTTGTGAACCTTGTTGAAATGGTGAAAACCTTCAGAATAGTTTTAGATTTTCTTATTCTCACATTTAGTAATGTATCTCTAATGTATCTCTGCATCAAAGCTAAAGTGTTCCTGCAACAAGGAAGTCCAAAGTTCTAAGCACATGTTAGGATTTATATAGACTTTATATCTCTCAAGCACTAATGAACCCTATTTTGGTCAAGCCAAATGTTAAAGAATATTATTCTTTCTTTAGCAGGCTTTATTTCAGTTATTTTACTCTATAAAGCATATGCGTGTAGGTAATACAAACATATCTTTAATAACTGCAGCTATTTTATGATTTATACCAGGGGTCTCCAAACTTTCTAAAAAAGGACCTGTTTACTGTGCTTCAGATTTTAGCGGGGCCGGACCATGGCCAATGGGAGCAGAAAATGTCCAGCATCTGTGACATTAAGCAATGTCCCATCTTTGGTATTAGGGGACTATTAGTGCCTCGTTGATGTCTGTGGGAGGAATAGTGCCTCATCATTGGTGTCTGTGGGAGGAATAGTGCCTCATCATTGGTGTCTGTGGGAGGAATAGTGCCCCATCATCGATGTCAGTGGAAAGAACAGTGCCCCATCATTGGTGTCTGAAGGAGAAATAGTGCCCCATTGTTGATGTCAGTGCAGGAATTATTGCACTGTTTTTGGTGTCAGTGGAAGGAATAGTGCCCCGAGGGCAGGATACAGGCAAGCAAAGGGCTGCATTCAGCCCCTGGGCCACAGTTTGCAGACCGCTGATTTATACAGTATAAGCATACATATGTGAATGTATCTTATTGCTTTACTCTATGAAAACTTAGTTTGGCTTTTGTCTGCTTTTAGTCTGAAGAAGAATTTCTACATGATCTTGGAGTAGACGAAAGAGATATTGATGCTGAAGAGGAGGAAGAGGAGGAGGACAGTGCACAGAAGAGGAGGAACAAGAAAATGACAAACCACAACACATAACAAAAATGTTGGACAGAAAGAGTGGATCACTTGTGGATCGGAAGATACAAAATATTGTACGGAGTTTACATGAGGAAGGTGAGAGTCGTTAATTATGAAGTCTTTAGAAGAACATGTTTAAGGACAGGATGACGTGGGGTTGATTTACTAAAACTGGAGAGTGCAAAATCTAGTGCAGCGGTACATGGTAGCCAAAGCGTTTCAAACTTCAGCTTGTTCAATTAAGCTTTGACAACAAAACATGGAAGCTGATTGTTTTTTTGTACAGAGCTGCACCAGATTTTGCACTCTCCAGTTTTAGTAAATCAACTCCAGTGTGTGAACTGTGTCAAGTGTAGCTTATCCTGTAGTTGTTTTACAGCCTTAATTTTTGCGATGTGCATATTCAGAGCTATTGGGATATGCAGTTCATGGTTTTTTTTACATTCAGTTTAATATTCACAGTGCAGATTATTTTACTGTACAGTGGCTGATAGATAGATATATATATAAAAAAAAATGTGTGTGTGTGTTATCCTTTCCAAACAATACCATGGTGTTTAATTTCATAAAATGGTTTATCAATCTATATGTCATTGCAGCTTCTTTGTAACTCTTTAAAGGTATTGTTAAGCATTTTATTTTTAAATTTGTTGTTTTAGGCTTATCTGGTCCACTGTTGTGGCTTCAGAACTGTCTGAATCGGACAGCAGATGACAAAGATGAAGATGGTAAGTGTCTGATGTAAACCACCATATGCAATGAGTTGACTGGTTGAAACTGTCAGCACTGAGATCTTTACTTTTATGTAATGATTTCTGACATATAAAGTGCAGAGTTGAGTAGTGCTGTTAAGGTTGTAATGATAAAAGATCTACTTAACCTGCATGTAACAGTTCATCAATTCTTTATGTGCACACCTGTAAACCTTTGTCAGTGATTTGTATGTTTTCCTGCAGTCATCTGGGAGACTTGATTTATGGAAGTAAGAGGGTAAACACTGGTGAATTGCTTGCCTTCATTTAGTGGCCCATAATATTTTTGTATGAGTAAATGCTGAGTTGTAGGCTTTCATTTGGTGAAACACTTTGGTATTATTTTGCCTAATTTTATAATGATTTAGAAATTGGAGCTTGTCCAAGAGACAGCTATAGACAGTCATATGTTGGCCATATTCATAGCAATTTTTACTGTCAATAGATTGTTATTGAAGTTTCGACAGAACAAAACAAATAACTATCATTGATGGCAAAATAGACTAGTACAAGAGAATGGAGGATAATGAATACATAAGAATGCACATATTCTGATCGTTTCTAACTTTAACAGAGAAACTCATATAAATCCACAACCAGTAAGAAATAGGGAGGGTGATAGTCAGCATCCCAACTTGTTTCGCTCACTTCCGTCTCACAAACACCTAACACAAGAAACCCCAAGCGGCTAGCTGAGATATCCATTTGAACATTAGAAACTGGTAACAGACTACCAGAGAAGAAAAGAGGGAAAAGGATTCAGAAAGACAGGTCCGGAGTAGGATGTTAAGGTGGCGCATACTCCCTGCTCCCACAGAGCAATCGTAAAACAACATTCATATATTCCGCCCAGGGTTCTAATGTGCTTTCAAATCGTGCCACTGTATCATGAAGCATAGTAACAGCATTTTCCTGCAGCATAACCCAAGTAATGTTCTTCTTCGCCTGGGCCACAGAGACTGAAGGTTGCTTCCAAGCTCTAGCAGTGGTCATCTTTGCACCCAAGAGAACATAGAAAATCAAGTGTTGTAAATGTTGAGGAACATCCTCCACTAATGCATTAAGTAGAGCCACAGAAGAGGTCTGAGGAATAGGTAGCCCCGTAACGTTACTCAACATAGCAAAGATGCCATTCCAAAATCCTCTCAGCAGTGGACATTCCCACCAGATATGAAACATGGATCCAGTTATGCCACATCCCCTGAAGCAAAGGGGAGAAGCAGAGGGATACATGTTAGCTAAACACATAGACACCATGTACCATCAAGTAAGTATTTTAACGTTGGCTTCTATCAAAGTTACATTCAGAATGCCAGAGTAGAATCTCAGACTGTGCCTGTGCCAGTCTTCAGCCTCAACCTCTTCCTCAAGATCCTTCTCCCAGTCAGATATTTAAGGAGAAGTCAGTAGCAGTCCATATATAAGAGAGAGACCCCCTCTTTGGCCTATGTCCTGTGTGCACCATTTTTCATATGGAGTGACTCTACATTGATCTGACTTGTCGGGCATGAGAGAATGGAAACAATGTGAGATCTGGAAGAAACATAATTGCTCCGTTTGGGTGCATTTTTAACACACCTCGACACAATGGCGCAGTGTAAAAGGCCCTCTATCAATAAAAAAACTGCCCAATCCAATCTAGCCCCTTTTCAAGCCACCATTTAAATGCCTTAATATCCTCCCTGGTGGGAAATTAGGATTATTAAAAATATGGGCCAGCGGACAGAGGGGGAAAACAATGCAGAGTTATCCTTGAACTTGTTCTATAGAGAAACAGATTGAGAAAGCGTTGGAGCCAAGATAGGCGGGCAGTTCCGAGGAGGACACCAGAGTAAATAGTTTAACATGTAACCTGGAACTGCCATCCTCTCCATATAGACCCAACCCGGTTTATAACGTCTTCAATAAACCCCCGAGAGTTGGGTTAGTTTGTGCTACCTGATAATACCTTTTAAAAGTCCGGAAGTCCCAACCCCCCCCCCCCCCCCACCCCCCCCAGTTTATGACAGAAGAGTATCTTTTTAGCAAAACGATGACCCTTGTTGCCCAAAACATACCTGATCACTGAAGACTGAAATTTCTCTAACACCAACCATGGGACAAGAATGGGGAGAGACCTAAAGTAATAAAGGAGCCGTGGGAGCAAGGTAATCTTAACCAAATGTAGTCTGTCCATCCAAGAAGATTGTGTGACAACCACTTCTGTAGATCTGCCTCCAGCTTACAAAGAAGTGTTGGATAATTGAATTTATAAAGGGATTCCACACTAGCAGTAAGCTGCACCCCTAAATACGGAATATGGGTGTCACTCCGAACAAAGGGAAATTAATCCTGTAGTTGAGTAATCAATTCGGCTGGAACAGAGACATTCAAAGCCAACGACTTAGTCATACTAACCTCCAAACCTGACACCCTCCCAAAATCCTGTAATAAGTGGACCAATTTCGGAGTAGAGGTCAACGGAGAGGTCCGAAACATCAAAAAGTCATCCACAAACAGCGCACACTTGTGTTCTTGTTGACCACATTGCATCCCTCGTATATTGGGGTCACTCTGAATTGCAACCACCAGGGTCTCAATTGCCATAGCAAAAATCAGGGGAGATAAGGGGCACCCTCACCTGGTACCCCAACGATCTGACCTGACTGGGAGTACTGACCTTGCAAATGAACTTATGCTACCAGGGAAGAATAAAGGGCATGCAGTATGCCTAAAAACCATGGCCCAAACCCCCAAACTTCAAAGACCCTAAAAAGATAGGGCACGGAGACAGTGTCAAAAGCCTTCTGTAGGTCTATGAACAGTATTAATCCTTCTTGGGGGGGGGGGGGACACCACCATCCTCAGTGGGAGCGCAACACTACATTGACCACTCTACGGATCTGGTCTGGTCCCTGTCTTCCTGGTATAAAACCCACCTGATCTTTATGCACTGATAAATGAAGATAAAAGTATTAGATCATTATTGATCAGTGAAATAGGTCTATAGTTGCCAACATCTCCGGGGGTCCTTAGCCGGTTTAGGGTCTACTGTAATATAAGCCATGTTCGGGGAGGGTTCTAAAAACTCCCCGTCACTAAGGGAATTAAAAAAATGAGCTAAATACGGGGATAGAGTGGCAGTATATTTTTTATAATATAGCAAAGAGAATCCATCTGGGCCAGGGGCGGAACTTTTCTTAGACTGCTTTATTACTCCGATGACTTCTTCCCCAGAGATGGGAGCCTCCAGCTTATTTCTGTGAACCACCATCTGACGGGGTAATAAGTCCTGCAAAAAGGAATCAACAGCTTCTCTGGAGGCAGGGGACCCTGACTGATACAGCCTAGAATAAAAGGCATGAAACTCCATTATTTTTTGCGGGTATTGGGTATAGCCCCCCCAGGGCAGATTTTATTTTTAGCAATGTGTTGGACTGAACTTTAGGCGTCAACTTAGTGGCCAACACCGAGTCAATTATATCCTGTCCACAGTAGAAGCGAATGTTGGTCCACCGCAAATCCTTCTCGTCCCCTAGTCGTCAGCACTAGGTTCAGTGCCAACCTATTAGATTCAAGTTTGGCCAGGGTGTCCCTATTGGGTTTGCGTTTTTGTTTTGCTGACTGTAATTCAGCGTCCACTCTCTCTATATGTATACGATGTTCCCACTTGACCCAGGAGGACATTTGTATGATCTTTATGGTAGCTTTGTGAGCCGCCCATAATGTGACTGGGGAAACGTCAGCTGTGTCATTTTGTTGAAATTATTCACACATTGCTGTATCTATTTCTGTGCATAATGTTGGGTCATGAAGAAACGTCTCGTTTAATCACCAGTGAAAGGGACCTAGCTTCCCTTGATACTGCGAGAGAACCACACAGGCCATAGAGTGATTGAACAATGCCGTTTCTCTAATATGGGCCTTAATCACCCCAGGAACACTACTGCTTGAATTAAAAACGTGATCTATTTGAGCATGTGGGGCCGAGTAATGTGTATAGTCTCTCCCTGTGGGGTGAGTTTTCCTCCAAATGCCCACCAGCCCCGAAGAGTTAATTATTTTGGCGATAGCTATGCTCCTTTTAAGGGGATGTCCCTCTCGACTTGTCTAGACTGAAAGCTAGGGTTATATTGGAGTCCCTCCACCACCCTCCCGAAAATCACTGTGCCCTCCAAATGCGAGGAAAGGGCACAGAACATATCTGGAGAGAAGGCAGGTTGGCCGGCATCGGGGGCATGATAGGATATCAATGAATACAGGTGTGTCCATCTATGGTGCCCTTCAAAAATAAGTAACGCCCATTAGGATTCTTAAGTTCCATAAGGGGCGAAAAAAACCATTCGCTTGGAAAAAAAAGATGGCAACCCCCTTAGTCTTATCAGGAGCATTTGCAAGAAAAAAAGTTTGGGTATTTAGTATGTATAAATGTGGGATGATAAGAGCTAGGAAAATGGGTCTCCTGGAGGAATACCGCATCAGCGTGTTGTGAGCGGTAATATTGAAAGATTTTTCGTCGTTTCACAGGAGAATATAAGCCCTGAGTGTTATGAGGATACATTCTCAACTGCAAATTATTAAAAGGCCAAAGAGAGGACATGCTCAGTCAACAGACTACCACTTACCACTCCCATACATGAATACCTGAGACCCCCGGACCAGCAATAACCCCGAACCTCAAGGAGAATCCTTGGGGGTGACAGGCACCTGAACTCCGGACAAAAGAGAAAGAAAAGAAACAGAATGGGAAAAGGATATGAAGAACATAAAGAACTACAACCAGACAATATACGGGGAGTGGGAGAGGACCCAGCCCCTACTAACTGCCCCCAGAAAAATCGTGGTCCATCTAACAAGGGACCACTTCCTGAGCCACAGTGTCACACAAGGCACAATGTATCAGGTGGGGCAGCGTGCCACCCCAGACCGGTCTATCAGTCACCATATAAGGCACAACTATTACTAAATAGCACTCCAGAAAACTATAGAAGACTGGC